GTCAGACTTGTTTGTATATACTTCAAGATCGTATACCCCAAAAATTGCAAAAAAACAAACATTCGGAGACCCAGTAAAGGGACAAAAAATTTCAACGGTTCTAAATGAAAAATCACGACTTAACGGTTATTTTAACTCCGATTTTAATGATTTTTCACAGCTACACTCCTTGACCTTATATGAATACAATGAACAAATTCGATCGTCAATTTAAAATATTTACACTAGTAGATACCACAAAATCTTATGTTATATTTAACAAAAGTATAAATAAACTCTTAATTGTTAGTGAATATATTATTGTAATGGCATACGCATTCTAAGAAACTATTTTCAACGATCCAACCGTCAAACTTGTTTGTTTATACTTCGAGATCATATAGGATAAAAATCGGAAAAAATAAACATTCAGAGATCAAGTAACGGGACAAAACTTTTCGACGGTTATAAATGAAAAATCATGATTTAACGGTTATTTTAACTCCGATTTTGATGATTTTTTACCGCTACACTCCTTTACCCTATATGAATACAATGACTGAATTTGATCTTCAATTTAGAATATTTACACTAGTGGATACCACAAAATCTTATGTTATATTTAACAAAAGTATAAATAAACTCTTAATTGTTAGTGAATATATTGTTTTGATGGCATACGCATTCTACGAAACTAGTTTGAACGATCCAACCGTCAAACTTGTTTGTTTATACTTCGAGATCATATATGCCAAAAATCGAAAAAAATAAACATTCAGAGATCAAGTAATGAGACATAACTTTTCGACGGTTATAAATGAAAAATCATGATTTAACGGTTATTTTAACTCCGATTTAGATGATTTTTTATAGTTACACTCTTTGACCCTATATGAATACAATGAACTAATTCGATCGTCAATTTAAAAAATATATTTTCTAACAAAAACCCAATCCAAACAACAATAACATATTTTTCTAACAAAGATTTTAAAAAATATTTTATTTATTTTATAAGGACTTTGCGCGACGAAGTTTTGTTGTTTCGTCGCTCAAGGTAGCTTTGCGCGACGAAATGATTTTCGTCACGCAAAGTAGCTTTGAGTGACTAATTGTTTTTCGTCGCACAAAGGCGCTTTGAGCGACGAATTTTTATCCGTCGCGCAAAGCGAATTTGCGCGGCAAATTTTTTTTGGTCGCACAAAATTTGGTCGCTTAAGACTTTGTGCGACGACGTATTATCGTCGTGCAAAAGTTGGTCTCGGAAAGTCACTTTGTGCGACGAATTATTTTTCGTCGTGCAAAAGTTGGTCGCACAAGGTTTTTAGCAACGAAGTTTTGAGTTTCGTCGCGCAAAGTGACTTTGAGCGACGAATAATTTTTCGTTGCGCAAAATTTGGTCGCGCAAGGGTTGTTTTGTAGTAGTGTATGCACAGCTTGTATATGCAAGCTAGTTTAATTGGTCAGTGCAGTTCGTAAGTCCTTTTACACAAGTTTAAATTATCATTTTCGTAAATTAAACGCTTTGTCATTTAAAAGAGAATATACAAAATTGGACAAAATTTGGATATGCCATGAAATTGCAAAGGATATCAAACTATATGGGTCAAATCGCTAGAATTGAAACTACATAAACCACAGTGAAAATCCAGCAATCTACAAAAACCAAATGTGACTTTTTTGCCTAATTTTTATAGTAGAATTATGAGTAAACGCCCCAGAGCAGAAGAAAACAAATGAGCCGAACGAGTTACTACAAACTCACATTGTTGATGCTCTTTTTGGGAGGTCAACTTAGAGAGTAGGTGGAATGGTGGTTGATGGGCGAATGTGAGGACCTTCAGCATGTGTGTGAAGATTTGGGCAAGCGATGGGCAAGCGATAAATATAAAGAAGACAAGATATACGTGGTTCACCCTTAATGAATGGGCTACATCCACAGAAAAGTATTCTCATTATAATAATGTAGGATTACATTTGTACATGGGGTTGGGCCCAAATATAAAGACAACAAGTGAGATGTCCAGCCCAGTCCTGGGATCCATAAGAGAGAGTCCAAGGCCCAAGGGTCTAGACCCAAGATCCTTTTCCAAGTGGAGAGTGGTCTTCTTTTATAGGTGAGGGGGAGTGTTTACTTCTTGTAGTTTTTCGATGTGGGACTCCTCTTACTTTGCTTAGAGTTGTGACTTGTGGTAATGCTTATTTAGCTAAGGTGATGACCTCTCAAAGTATGGCATGTGGATGATCTAGCCAAGCTAGTTGCTCGGTCAGTTACGGTACCAAGACACATGTTAGTCCACCAAAAAGAATCTAGCCCGCTTATTAATGGGTAGAAATCCATAAATAAATAAATAAAAATATAGACCGTTATTAAACGCACACAAAAAAATTGTAGCCCGTTATCCTGGTGTAAAACTCAGAGCCTTCTGTCAACGGGTGAGAACCCAAAAATGCAGAGAGAGAGAGAGAGAGAGAGAGAGAGAGAGAGAGAGATTTAGGGTTTAGGGTTATTATTTTAATGATAATTTATTACTGGATTAAGGTTGAAAAGGAAAAAAATAATATTGATTAATATGGTCAGTTGAAAAAGAGTTGTGGTTCACACAGTACATAAAGCCAAACAACCCATCGTTTTTTTCTCTCACAACCGTAAAGCCAAACCCCAAGCGGACACAGCCATGGACCACGTCACATCTTCGGAGTGCCTGAAATTGGATTCCCAGTTGGAGGTACTCGATAAAGACGGCAGCGAAAAGGACCTTTTCTCTCAAGTTATGGTCCCCCTCAGCTGCAATACGCCAATAATTAGTATGCTTTTCCTTTTTCTTTTAATTCAAGGGTGACCAAGCCTATCAGCTTTTGTGGATGAACAATTATATATTTACCTTATAGGATATAACTTATATCCTAGTGTTCCTGGCATTAATCTTTTTTGTTTTGTTTTTTGAGTTGGTGAGTAAGATTATCTGGAATTTGCTTGGCCTTGTGTGGTTTGGAAAAAAGAAATTGTTGTTTTTATATTACTTTTGTTGGTGTAATTCAAGGATAATCCAAATTTTTTGAATCAGTTTCATTATATATTTATTTTTGTGAATACAAAAGACAGTATAAACAAGATCGAGTTCGGAGTGCCTGAAATTGGATTCCCAGTCGGAGGTACTCGATAAAGACGGCAGCGGAAAGGACCTTTTCTCTCAAGTTATGGTCCCCCTCAACTGCAATACGCCAATAATTAGTATGCTTTTCCTTTTTCTTTTAATTCAAGGGTGACCAAGCCTATCAGCTTTTGTGGATGAACAATTATATATTTACCTTATAGGATATAACTTATATCCTAGTGTTCCTGGCATTAATCTTTTTTGTTTTGTTTTTTGAGTTGGTGAGTAAGATTATCTGGAATTTGCTTGGCCTTGTGTGGTTTGGAAAAAAGAAATTGTTGTTTTTATATTACTTTTGTTGGTGTAATTCGAGGATAATCCAAATTTTTTGAATCAGTTTCATTATATATTTATTTTTGTGAATACAAAAGACAGTATAAACAAGATCGAGTCATGCTTTTCATGAAAGGAACCCCTGAGGAGCCCAAAAGTAGATTTAGCAAAATGGCTGTTAAAATTTTATATTAACCAATTGATCAATTGATAATGAATCCGTTTCAATAATCCAATAGACAGTATTAATCGAAAACATATAACTTTCATAAATAAATAAATAAAAAAAAGTAATGAAATCAAGTCGTTAAAGCACAAGGTTGAAAAAGATTAAATATTAACTACAATTTAACAAATAATTAGAATTTTTATTTTTATTTTAAATATTATTAAATAACTGTAATATTCGTAGACACATGCAGAATATATCAATAAATCTATGATATATGGCCTTCATACTCAATAAATCTATGATATATGGCCTCCTCCTCTGGATGGAAAACCCTTCAGTTTCCAGTTTCCCCCCAATATGATCCGTACAAAGAAAGTAACCAATTGATCAATTGATAATGAATCCGTTTCAATAATCCAATAGACAGTATGAATCGAAAACATATAACTTTCATAAAAAAAAAAATAAAAATAAAAAAAGTAATGAAATCAAGTCGTTAAAGCACAAGGTTGAAAAAGATTAAATATTAACTACAATTTAACAAATAATTAGAATTTTTATTTTTATTTTAAATATTATTAAATAACTGTAATATTCGTAGACACATGCAGAATATATCAATAAATCTATGATATATGGCCTTCATACTCAATAAATCTATGATATATGGCCTCCTCCTCTGGATGGAAAACCCTTCAGTTTCCAGTTTCCCCCCAATATGATCCGTACAAAGAAAGTTGTTCATAGATTTGTTATTTGGTGTTCATAGGTTTGTTCTATTGTTTTGTTTGTTAACTTACTCGTTGTTCATAGATTTGTTATTTGGTGTATTTCGCTTCATGCTTGTGCAAGTTGCAAAATCCTTTCCATGTTTGAATCTGCTTGTTTTGTTCCTTTTCTTTGCTCCCTTTGATGATTTTGAATCCTTTTTTCTAGTCAATTGTATAATAGATTTATTTGGTTGTCTGTTTTGCCTCGTATGTAATTGTAAAAATTGTGTGTTAACTTCTCGTTGTTCATAAAATCATTCTGCTTGGTCTAAAAGAAAAATTAAAATAAGCTTTTATACTTAAAAGAACAATATATGCATAAACTTAATTCCAAATGACCACGAAGCTACATGAACCCATTACTAGGAGACTTAAGAAAAGCTCAAGGTTTCTCGTTCAACTGAGGTGCATGTCCTGTTATTAAAGAAAAAAGAAAACAAATGATGAAATAAATGAAATGGGTTATTACACTGACTAGTCTAAACAAAGCATTAGCATTCTTGCAGTTATTTAAAGGAGTGCACGCCCAATGCTACACATCTTGTAAATCTCTCATCACCTCCTGTGTTGGCTTACAAAACAAAATAGGAACTCGACCAAATTGCTCAATTAGAACCCACGGTAGAGCTTGGACTTCACGAGGCACATTACGTTGAAGATTTTGTTTTCTCATCTGCTCATATAGTTCATCAGGAATGCTATAAAAATGTACGAGTCGTATAACAAATCTTCTTCCTTGCTTTATGACAACATTATCCTTATATTCTTTTTGAAACTTTCTTTTGAATCCTTTGTGCACTTTCACATTAATGTCATGTGTAGGCTTGTAATCACGCTTGGGGAAGAGAAAGAAAAATGATTTGGAAAGATGACCAGCTAAGGCATCGTAATGATCAAAAAGCGCTTCCAAAACTGATTTGTGATATAAATCATCAAAGCCTCTTTGTTTTACCTTAAACACGCGCAGATATCCACCGCTGCATATAATAAAAGCCTCTTTGTTTTACCTTAAACACGCGCAGATATCCACCGCTCCTGTCATCAAATAGAGCTGCATATAATAAAGCCCTTGTCACAGTTTCTAACAATTCATTTGAACTTTGGACTTCCACATTGAAACTCTCGAAGTATTCACGAACTTTTTTGCCACCGGTTCCATTCGCAAATCCATAGCAACGTTTGGATTTGGTTTTCTTCACTGGTCCAGAAGAATTAACTTTATATACATGAGGAAGACCATCTGCATCCCATCCAACCATATAAACTGATCCCTGATATAATTCTAGTGTCGATTTTTGCCAACCACGAATATACTTATGGCCTATTTTTGGTGCATCATGGATGCCGTTAACTATTTCCGCATATGTGGTTAAGCAGTTCTCCACATAATTTAACATATTTTCACAATGTCTGGAATAACCTGCCATAGTTGCAAATACATTGCAACTCTCCATAAAACAAAATTTTTTTGCGTCCTCACGCACTATAGATCCTCTTGTCCCATCAGATGTAGACCTTGTATCGACACCAACATATATTGCTTTACAATCTTTATTAAAGATAACAACGATGTTTGTTGTGCCCCATCCCTTTATCTGGATAAAAAAAGAAAAGATACAGCAATTAGAATAACAACCAAAGGAGAGTACAGATGAATAAACCGATAGGAAGACATAAAACAAATCAAATCAATAAACCAAAGGAGAGCACAGATTTGGGGTTTTTGTGTTCATAAAATTTATAAGCTAAATTTAGATTGAATTCTCATGCAGATTAGGATAGATTTGGATTGAGAACGTATTCTATTGTTGAATGTTATTTAATTTTTTATTGATTTAAAAAATCACAAATAAGAGACCACAAAATCGAACAAGCCATGGTTCAAAATTTAACCAATAGGTCCAAGTTTCGAAAGAAAAATTCAGCTTCAACGGCTATACTATACAGACAAAATTCGATTAATGAGGAGATCTCTCATTGCCTCGGCCGAAAGCGCGTGGCTTTGCTCGATGATGGTACTAAGTTGATGGGCGCTGGGAAGACGAGGGGATAGGAAATAATGTATTTTATTAATTTTCTTATATGAGTTAACAAAGTTTATAAGTTGGTTAATTAGATGGACGGATGACAAAAACATTAGTAGGGGACAGGGAGGGCACATAGATTTTGGACAAAAACATTAACTACAAAAAAACGTATGATAGATAAAAGAATAGATGTCACAAACCTTCAACTCTTGGTTGGTGTTTTCCAAGCATGCCTCAGCCATAATGCAAAACACAAGTTTAGCTCAGCTACAATCACCAATTTGCTGTTGAGAAAGAAAGAAAAGTTGTTTTGCAAGTTTGAAAGACTTCTACCAGTTAAGAGCGACAACTATATCCTTTTATAAGAAAAAAAAAAGTTGTTATGTTTAGGGAAGTAAAAGAATGTTACTCTCGGAATTAAGACTTTCCATATTAATCAATAAAAAGCTTACCATTTTCTTAGTCAAAACAACAACAAAACAGGAAAGTAATTGAAAATAGTTATCCATTGGGAAAAATACGTCTTTCCCTTTTTTTCTTCTTCTTAGAAAGTACAATGTCGTGCAGAAGTTTGGGTTTAAAGGCCCAATGAATTATGCAAAATAACTTCTCCACCCTGCATGCATGGTGATCTACAGTGGCGGGTTTTATTATTCAAAATAAAAACATATATATATATATATATTTCTTTCATTATTTATTCAAGAAATCTCGTTTTGCACATGGGGTGGCATCCGGGTTGGATTCATGTAGGAGACAATCTTGAGGCAATCCACTAAATATTCCCCTCTCTCCTCCCCTAACGAATGACAAGGGAAAAAAAATAAAAAAAGGAATCTCAGTTTTAGGTGCTGCTTGTGTCAACTCCTCTTACTCCGGCCTTCTTCCTTTTTTTATTTTTTATTATTTAAATAATAGAGAAAAATCTTTATTGAGAAAAAAAGAAGAAAAAAAGCAACACGTTTAAAACAAAAAAAGAAGATATATGACCAACGTCAAGAGGACGAAAGCAATAGTGTTAACAGCTCGTTTTAACCAAATAGCTTTGTACTGTTGGATTGGAAACATGAACCATAGAATCAGGCCTTGTAATTTGTACGAGCCCTAATCCCAATTGACATAACCATGCCATTAGGCCCAAAAGACTAAAATACCCATATGCCCAACTTTAATTCACAAATCAATATAGGGTAGGGTTCTTATTTGTGTTTGTCTTTTCTTTCTTTGTTTCCCATATGCCTAACCCTAAACCCTAAACACTAGCCACATACACCAACTTACCTTTTTTAAATTGATATGTAAAGTCGTTTTTTGGAAGGAATATATTTTTGAAATATAAAAATAAGAAGTAATGGAAAGTTTTATAAAAAAATTACCCACTACGTTAATTTAACCTTTATTATTTTATTTCAATTAATTAAGTTATCTTGTTTTAGAAGTCTAATTAATAGAGGATATTTCTTAGTACTTTGAAAGTTTCCGTAAATTCTTTGAGGAAAAAAAGGTTTCCGTAAATTATGCCTCTACCTTTATATGTATAGAATAGTCAGCCTTGTTTTTCTTTGTTTCCATCTCTCTCTTTGTTTTTGTGCGTTTAGGGTTTAGAATTTCAAAGACTTGGTCATCCATGGGTGGATCAGTGAAAGTTGTTCAATTCAAAGAGCTTGATAGCGTGGTCCGTCCCTTGAGGTGTGAGGCTTCGAAGCACATGGACGAGGTATTTGCCCACTTTTCATCTCTAACTGGGTTTTTTCTGGTGTCTCTGTGTGTGTGTGTGTTGGTGTTTTGTTTTTAATCTTCAATTGCTGATTAATATTGTAGGTTGAAGCTGAAGAACAGCCTAAGCCTTATTCGGTTTCTGATGTGCCGTACTCCTCTGCCTTCGTGAAGGTATGCTTTTTGGGTATAGTATATACATGTTATTCGTTGGTTGTGAGAATATATTGTTTTTACCTTTCAACGAAGTTCTGTGAATATGGGGTATTTAGTTTGAAATTGAGTTTTTGGGGTTCACTGTAATATAGCAATTCAATTGAACTGATTAGTTAATTCCTAATCAGAGAACACACGTAGCAATTTAGTATCTTATTCCTCTTTCTCCTTTAGTTCAGGTTCTCAAAAACCAAACAGCACAATGATTTTTTTACACATACATTTTGATGAACCATTGATAGATATTTAACCCAAATGAACTCAATATCATTATAGATATTGCTGTCTATTGCTTCACCAATTCTTAATCTCTAACAGCAGACTTCTCTATATTGATTCACCATATTATTATTCACTTTGCATCAGCCAAAAAAGAAGAACATATTAAAGAACAGACATGTGGAAAAATCAAGCAACGAAGGAGAAAAAAAATCAAATTTTTTTGGACATAATACAAAGTGATTAGTAACTTATCCCTTGTTTTTATTATTAACTTATCAAACCATCCATTAGTTAGTGAATGGGTTATAATAATAGTGATTATTGCTCAACATGTGCTAATGAAACCTTTAGCAATTCAAACAACTATCCACCCCCAAAAGTGATTACTAGATCCGAGAGAATTTTAGATGGTGTTTTTTTTTTTTTTTTGTTGCTACAACTTGAGGTGTTTATGAATCATGTGCTCAAGCTTGGGACCTTGGCGTTTTTTTTTTCACAGGATTTATGATCATTAATCAACAGTTTGGAAGATGAAATAGAAACATAGATGTCCCATGTAGTATAACGCTCACTTTAATTGGATAACTGGAAATGCATGCAAGTATGAGTTGAGTGATGATTGGAAAAGAATTTTGCTGCTGATAAACTTTTGTTGTTGGCTTGGGTTCTACTATTGTTCTGTATCTTGTTTTTCTCTTGGTCATTTTTTGTTCGTGTTTTCTATTGTCAGGATGGAAAGGTCGTTGATACATCACCTAGTTTGGCCACTAAAGTTGCTAGGGTTGTTGGGTCGGTTAAGGTTGGAGAACCTGTTGCTCCTGCCAGCCTTGTCACAGTTCAAGAGTTAGCGAAAGAAGCTGAATCTTCTGAGGAGCAAATTCAAGCTCAAAATGCCCTTGATGATGCCTTGAAAAGGCGACTGAAGAAGCTGATTGACTCTAATCGAGTCATGCTTTTCATGAAAGGAACCCCTGAGGAGCCCAAATGTAGATTTAGCAAAATGGCAGTTCAAATTTTAAAGAAACATAAGGTCGAATTTGGAAGTTTCGATCTTCTTACGGATAATGAAGTCATGGAAGGGATACAGAAGTATTCTAACTGGTCTTTATTACCACAGATTTACTTCGAAGGGAGGGCTCGTGGTTTCCGTCACATAGAAACTTTAATGAAAGGTTGCCCAAGTGAAAGCACAAGAAAAGATTGTTTTTATTAAGAGAATTCCAGACTGAAGATCTCTGAATGCACAATAGAAAAGTTGCACAAGAGAAAACACTGAACTTTTGCGAAATGTGATTTTGATTTTGATGGAAGAAAAGATATTGAGGCATTTGCAATGTAATGTTTTGAAATTTAAGGGTGTTTATTTGCCTGGCTAATTTCTGTTTCTTTTATGGTTTACTTTCTTTTTGAACAATACACTATGTCTTTTCCCAAAAAAAAAAAAAAAA